CGCTAAGTTAAAGGTCAGCTTTGTAAAGTATTCTGTGACCAAAAAATATCAAATATAACTTGAAAAAAGAGTAACACTATTATCCTCCTCTCGAACGTGATATTGTCCGTAAAAGAATATACAGCCCTATTTATCCTTTAATTGAAAATATATGTAAATCGGAGTCCATAAATAATTTTGAGTTTTTAAAATCTTTGTCAAAAATATTGAGTAGTGGACGTATGAATTTTGATATTATATTGTTTTTTTATAAATCGTTTATTGTGGACCAGCCTACTAATATTTTCCCTGTTGTGAAATCGACGCATTTTGAAAGTTTTAAATGGTAATTAATATTAAAGAGTTGCATTTTACAAAAAGTATAGTTAGTAAAACTTTTCACTATTTTTTATGTAGATATTAAAAATCCTTATACTGCCAAAAAAATTCCAATAAAGTTTACAAAAGTCTGCGGCTAATCCACTTCACTTCAGCCAGCAATAATCCGAAATTTATTCCTTAGATTACAGAGAAGGGCTCGGAGAACTTCATAAATTAATAAAAAGTTCATTAAACAGTTAATGGACTCTCTCTAAAAAATTTTAGACATTATAACAGCATTGCTATGTAGCGCAGACAGGTTTTAAATTTATTCTCATTAGTGATTAAAATTCGTTTCATCAAAAAAGGGAAGCAGAGAAATCTAAAGAGTTTCCTATTATTTTATAGGATAAGTTTTTAGGCAGGCTTGATGATGTTGAAATTACTTTTGTATTCCTCTTGCTGCAATTGGGGTAACTTTTTTATTTTAGGAAATGTTTAATTTGTATTAATATCTTTCCTGTAGGATCTCAGAAGCATTTCTTTAACTTTTGCCTTCTGTATATTTGACAGTCCACTCCAATAAAATGGAAACGAATCATGTAAATCAACATGGTACGCTGTTATACTAGTTGGATAGGTAAATAGGAGTATATATTCAACTTGGTAGAACTTTTGACAAATTTAGTCGGAGAACATTTAATTAAAGTTTACCCGCTGACTGCTCTGTGTGATGAAGTAATTTGTAAGGTTCCTGCCAAAGTTGACATGCAATTTAACAATATATGTGTATCTATTTTTGTCGAAACAAGATTAAAACATGAAGTCGGAGTCACAAATGAATTTGTTAAAAAAGTTTTTTATAACAATAGTACAATGTTAGATATAAAATAATTGAAAATATTCAAATTTGAATAAAATTAAGAATAATTTAAATTATGTATAGCAGGACTTCTTAAAGTTTTGCAAGTTGGACCCTCCTCATTACCCATATAAGTCCCCCACAAGCTATAATTTGGATTATACAGTAAGGAGAATAAGTTTCCGCCTAAATAATTTATAATTTGTTCGAGCAATTTTATAACCTAAAAAACTATATATCCTCTTTAATTCCCTTCATATTACTATTACGCCTCAATCTTTTAAATAGCAAGACTAAACGAAAGGTAATTCATTTAAAAGAGCTTAAGCGTGGTACATTTTTGAAATCAGGTTTTCAACGATTGTTTCCAATAACGAAGCTTATAAAACGGAAAATTTAATATTCGCATTGTGTATCTACTTAATTAGTCAGATTGAAATAACATTTTATTTCTTACAGAAAGTGAATATAATTTCAAAGTGTTATAGACTAATGTGGAATTGATTTTTATTGATTTGGAGTTGTTTTATTTTCTCTTGCCACATTTAGGAAGTGTGATTTCCTTCTAAGTTTAAAATATATAATAATAAATTTCCATCCATTTTCTCGGTTTTTTAAATTCATTATTTAAAAGAAATTTATTTAGAAGGTCTGCAACTTATTTTTCTCCAGAAATATATTCAGGAATAATTTATCTACTACGGGAGCTAATATATTAAAAGTACGACGATTAGTCTGTGTTTACGTCACACGTGTAATGAGAACCTGTCCTACAGACGCAATGGAGGTGATATTAAACCTCGTTCTTCTAAATTTAATGAAAGAGAACGTGGCAAAAAGGACATGATATAGAATTAGGAGCGGAGTAATCAGAGGAAAGTCTGGTAGCTTTAGGACCGAAGATACTAGGGATATGCCCCAGGATGAAATGAGAAAGAAGTACAGTTTTGTGAATAACTTCAGAACCACAGAGCTGAGCTGCAACAAAGAATGAAGCCAAGAATAATCCATCGTGCTTCTAACCAAAAGACATGTTATTCAGTGGTAAATGGTTAGTTTCAGAACCATAAAAGGACATGGAATAAAAGTGTATGGGCCTAGAACCAGGAACTCTAAAAGTTTTGAAAAACACCCAAACATCTTCCAGGTACAAATTCACGACATTCAGTGTGCCCAATTAAACATCAATAGAAACTATTGTAGACAAGATAATATTATCGTGTTCGATAGCCAAGCAGCCATCAAAGCGCTAAGTTGGAGATGCCTAAAAAAACTGAATGAGCTAGGCGAAGAAAATACAGTTACTGTCATTGAGTCCTGGGACCTAACGGGTTAAAGGGCAACTAGATTGCAGATAGTCTCGCAAGGAAAAAGCTCAATCATCCTTTGTGGGACCTGAGCCATTATGCGATATCAGTCAGTAATAAAATATAAGAAGGGATAAAAAAAAGAACTGGGCAGTAAGAGAACCGATAATTGGAACAAGCTCTTGAGATTAAGATACTTTTGGGTTATTATAACCATAAAAGGTCAGAAGCCTTTATATACCTAAGCAAGAACAGGTACGTTGTAACAGAGACCTTCACTGGGCAATGCTAACTCAAAGAAGTGAAATCAGATTCAGTGCGAAGGAGGACGAACACTTCATTCACATTCTTACTTAATGGGTATCACTCTAGAATCCAAGGGCAGTAGATATACAATGATGCCACGTGGATGTTACTTTCAAAAGTCACCGATACATTGCGCCACCTGTCAGTGTTGGAAATTGAAACTTGGATTATACCTAAGAGCATATCAAATAAAAGAATGTCACTTGCAATTCTACACTTCCTTGAGAAGATATGATTAAAAATGTCGGTATAGGCATCAAGGCATTTCCTTGCTGCATCAGCGACAGAAGGGGGCACAATAGATATTTTATTTCGCAGTGTATTAAGATAATATGCTCAATGCGTTTATGAATTTCGGAATTCTTGACTATCTTCACAGCACTAGCATAGTTATATTTCAATACTGGAGTTGGCAATTTACTTGGAAGTAGTTCATATAGAAGTTTATGAAGCTAAACAGTCTACCTTGTAGCTTCACAGCTTGCAATAAATTCTTATAATGCAACAGAAGCTTGATTTTGACTGACCCATCAGCTAATTTACAAATTACTTCAGAAGTAGACCTTTATATAATCTGATCACTAAAAACTTTTAAATTTTTTAATCCAGGTTAAAAATATATACCTAACTTTGTTTTTCTACGCAGTGGTAAGATTTGGAAGTAAAAGGTTTTGAGATTTTGGGTTCTGAGTCAGTTTTCAGTGTGGTGATTCTTTATCAACATCTCTGTATTTTGCATATTAAATTTAACAAAACATATATTAATTTGAGTAAAAATAAATACAGTAGTTTTTAGGCTTTTTGACCTTTTGTAATTGTGTATTTGTTGTGTCTATTATTGTGTGAGCCATTTTCGACTAATCTGGTTATGCTTCAAAACCTTAAGTCTTTATCTACCTTATTTAGGCCTCATACGGCCTACATTAAGAAAACTAAGAATATTCGATAACATGAGTAAAACTCCGAAACATTTTGTCTAATATCTTTACATTCTTTATTCAATACTTCTTCTTCTGAACTATATCCAGTATAGGTAGATTTAACTCTCACATTCATTTTTTTTTTCCATTCTTGCTTTATTCTATTAGTATGAATTGAGGCGGTAGCTGGAAAAAGGGCACATGGCCTTATGTGCATTTTTTGCGTAGAACACGATTTTGACGTCTCTGACATATTAGTAACATTCACTAAAAATTTTATATCGATATTTCAAAACATGACCGAGATATCGAATATTTTGTGATGACATCTGCTGTCATGGTGCACTAGAATACAAACTTTGGACAGGGATATCTCAAAAGCACTTTTAGCTATGTGCCCTTTTTCCAGCTACCACCTCAATTGTGTAATAATAAATTGAAGTTTGGGTTTTATTAGCTTTTTTGAATAAGTTTTCCAATGCTTCCGCTACTTCCTTACTTTTTGGCAGACTAACGTAAGCGACCTTTGCTTAATTTTATAAGAAGCTATTTTTTTGTTTAAACTCGTTATTTATGGTTAGAATAATGTAATATTTAAAATACATAAATTTTACCAACCTGTATGAGCGGAAATGCTTGTTACGTGCTTCCACGGCTTTTTAAGATAGCTGCCCAATAGGCAACAATGCAGTTTTGATTATAACTGCACCAAAAATAAGTTTTTTATACATCGTTGGTGTCATTGGGTACCAAGTGTACAGTTGCACATACTCGTGCAAGCGAACAGCATTTATGTGTATTTTCCGGATCAATTATATGTCTGCACGAAATCGTTTCTAGTATGACCATTAATTTATAAATTAGGTCATAACTAATTCCCGTTATTTCGGAAGCTAGTTTTGGGCCTTCAAAAAATCTTCGGCTCGTGTTTCCATCATTTGTGTTGCCAAAATTTGCCTTTGATACATCCACCAACATAACAGTTTCATTGCAAAATCTTTTCTGGATTTCCAGTTTTCTTTCTTTTTCAATATTTTTTTTTTTCGTTTCTGTTTTTCTTTCTCTGTATTTTTTCACTGGCAATTTATAAACCAAGTGGAAAATGCTTTCTTAAAGACGAATCCTTGCATGTAGAATTAAAAGCCCTAACTATGTGGCTTCATGATTAATCTGGTTTTTAAAATATAATTGGTTAAAGTCCTTAGAGGTTGCACTACATATGTAACATCGGCTTGTGGGTTTCGTACCAGTGGCAGTATTACAGGCCTTTCCGTCTACCATTGTCATAATGAACACATGTTTTACCAAAAATTGTGTTCTATTTGAGTCCATCTCTGTTGCGTTTTTTCTTCTTCCGTTATGTCAGTAGTCTCTTTAACGAATCGGAATCTTATAGGTCGACAATACCGTGGAAAAGGGGATGTTGGGTTTGCCCACACAATTTTTTTATCATTACCACAAACCAATCGTAGAGGAACGAAATAGCTCTGAAACATATTCTCGTTTGAGTCAGTAACATTTTCAAATTTTTGTTTGAACTTAGATTGCTGAGATCCATCACAACCCCATTCACAAACTATCTTCAGGTTGTCTCGTTCTTGTTCTTTCAATGATATCAGGACCTCTTCTGGGAATATTGACAAGCGCATATCTATAAGGTCAACTAAAGCCTGTAAATCGCTCTCCCCACAGGTACTAGTTGCTCTGCATGATTCTGGGGGGTGGATAGAATTCTTGTTTTACCTTTTGTAAAAGGCTGTAACAAGGAAATAATTTTTTATTAGTATTTCTAAATATTTCATATTGCTGACGAGTTAAATCAGCTTCTACGAACATTGTTAATGCTTGTAATGGAGTAAAAGAGCAAGTTTCTTTACTTTTTGATTTAGAAAATGCTTCTTTATATTTAGAAGCACGTGTTGGAAAACTGGTGAGATCTTTGAGTACATCGGAAGCATCTCGTTTTCCAGCTTTCTGCAATTCTACTTAAGCAGCATGTATAATTACTTTTTTATCTTAGTAGATCGAATCTCCTCAGTTTTCCTCCTGTTAGTTCGATTACTTTACTCTCCAAATGACTTACGTGGCCGGTCTGGCCGATTTTGTGTAACCACGGGAATCTTAAGAGTTTCTTATTTAGCCATTCATCATTGTATTTATAAAATACGTCTTCCTTTTAATGTGCTTTCAACAACCTTTATTTCACTTGAGACTAAAGGGTACTTAACAGGTTGACTGCCACAATGTTATGAAAAAAGTCCTTCACTCCAGCCAATAGATTTTTTTTGCTTTTAACGCTTGAAGAAAATGCATGTAACAGTATTTTGGTAACCATTTTCAAAAAACTGCAGTATTTTTTATTTTTTGATTGAGAATCAGCGTATGTCTCACGTGGCTGTAACACATAAATTTGTCACTATAGCCACGAGAATCATAAGCTACTTCTCTGCTTGATTATTTTGGTGGGGGCTACTCGTGACGTCATGATCTTGTCTGCTGTTCGGAGTGTTCGGTTCGGCCGCATACATCAGTACCAATTGGTTTGTTGGGCTGTTTGGATGTAGTAGCGTCGTTTTGCACTCACGTGTTTCGAAATGAATCGAAAATTCTATGAACAGGAGCAAAAGTATCTCGAATCTTTATGGCAGGTAAGACATGTGGATAATTTTATTGTTTTTTTATAGTTTAATAATAATAATAAATAAATAAGTTTATTCATTCACATTACAAATGTAGGTATAACATTATAAAATAGTATAAAAATTGAACAAACTATAAAACTGCATAAGCATAAGCTTGTTTAGTAAACTATAATTTGGCTTTTAATTTTATTTTTAGAATGTATTATCAGAGGAGAGTGATGAAGACCTTCAGGACGACCCATATGAAGAATCTCCCGACGAATATTTGCCGTCAACCCCATCTGAAAGCTCCGACGAGGAATATGAAAGACGCCAACCGAAAAAGCAGAAATTTGCTGACAAAACATTTATAGATGAGCAACGACCATGTACTTCCAAACAAGTTCTCCGGGATAGGGATCCAGTACAAGAGACTATAGAGCAGGTTATTCAAGCTCACCAGAATTTTTCTGACACTGAAAGCGAAGATGAAAATGAGCCTGCCGCTTCAAGCGATGTTACTTGAAACAATGTGTCTGGTACCTTTCTCAAGACTTTTACATTTTCCGAAGAACATCCAGGCGTGAAACCAGAAATTTATGAAACATATTTTGACAAAAGCCCGTTTGACTTCTACAAGATATTTCTGAGTCAGGATATATTGGTGATGATGGTGGAGGAAACCAATAGATATGCGGCACAAATGAAAAACAAAGAGACGCACCGGAAAGCTAGAATAAATGACTGGCAGGATACAAATATAGAAGAAATTCAAATATTCATAGGAATACTATTTTGGATGGGTCTTGCGCAGTTACCGTCTATCGAATCCTACTGGTCTAAAAAGAACATTTACCACAATAGAGTGAAAAATTTATTGTCAAGAAACCGCTTTCAGATTTTATTAAAAGCTTGGCACTTCAGCAATAATGAAGAAGTATCAGAAGATCGATTGCAAAAAATAACTCCACTGGTGAAGAAGCTTCTTGAATGTTTTCAACATCCAATTATTCCCTCCGAGAATATCTGTATAGATGAGACTTTGGTTCCATTCCAAGGGCGCTTAGGATTTAAGCAGTTTATCAAAAATAAACGCCACAAGTTTGGAATCAAACTGTACAAACTATGCCTTGAGAAGGGTTATACTTACAATGTTCAAGTTTACTGTGGCAGAGATAAAGTTGACGAATTACCCGCTTCAGAAAGAATTGTATTATTGCTAGCGGACAACTTGTTAGGGACAGGTCGCACCATTTACACAGACAACTTTTACACGAGCATGTCGTTAGCTCAACAAAAGCACTCATCTGGTTGGCACACTTCGAGCTAATCGGAAACTATATTCAAAGCATGTTATAGAGAAGAAATTGAAAGTGGGGGAAACAATAGCATCTGAAAGCAACACAGGTGTGATTGTGCAAAAGTGGAAAGATAAGCGAGACGTCTTGACACTAAGCACAAAACACACAGATGAGATGAAAACAGTCAACTATAAAAGAAGAGAGGTAGAAAAACTGACAGTAATAATTGACTATAATAAAAGCAAGTCTTTATAGATATTTCTGACCAAATGAAGGCATATGCCTCATCACTGCGGGGAGGTGTGAAATAGTACAGAAAGCTGGCCATCGAACTCGTGATTGGTTCAGCTACTGTAAACGCCTTTATATTACACCAGGAAGTAGCTAATGAAAAAATGTCAAAAAGGAAATTCAAAGAAGAGATTGCCATGGATCTACTGAATATAAGAGAAGTTCAACAGAATTTTGAAGTTGTTCAAAATAACCGGCAGCACAGCTTGATCGATGATGGAACCAAGAAAAGGAGAAGGTGTGCCTTGTGTTACGAACAACTGCAGCAAAGATTCGATAGAGCTTATGCACAAATGAAGCAGATACAAATGCACAGAATGCGAGCAGTATTTTTGTCTGGCCTGTTTTTTCCAAGTTCATAAGTATACTAAGTAGGTTGGCAATTTGAAAATTTTACAATGTTATAATTTGTATTTTCCTTAAACAGAACTTTATTTTACTTTTTAAAGTTCCTTTGTATCATTATTTGTAGTTTTGTAGATGTCCTGAATAAAAAAACGTAGTAAAAACTGTGTTGTGGTTTTCATGAAATATACGTACTGACCAAAAAATGTAAATAAGTGAGAAGCTACTAGTGATTCTCAGATCCACAGGCCAATTACAGTATTTGTTCCTTCAAGCCACCTATATTAGCGCCTATAAGGTTTAAATGGCAACGAGAATCGGAGGTCGCTTCTCGCGGCGACTATATTGTACCTATGCATGAGAATCATACGGTGCTTTTCACGCCTATAACAGTGCATTTTCTGAGAAGAACCTTATGATGCTCATGGCAGTCAACCTGTTAACTGCATTTCAAACACTCAATTTGGTCTTCGGTGTATCCTTCGCACGACAAAAAATGTTCTTTTAAGAAACCTAGTTTTTCTTCCAAACTAGGAAAATCTAGATTGTGCATGCGCGGAACAAATATTTACGGGTCAGAATTCTTACACTTGAGGTACTTTGTGAACCTAAACAAAAATTAATTCTTTAAAAATATATTTAACATCAATCGTAATTTTTAGAATATTGATTAGTTCTTTATTAAAATCCATAATCATAACTAGGAGAAAAACAAAAAACTAACAATAGGGGTCAAGCAATTAATGGGATTAACTTACTGCAAATAAGAATCTTTTTTATTTTTAATATAACTATTTTATTGTGCAAAACACTTGGGAACCATATAAAAACTAAAAGCAAAATTAATTGTATAAAAATTAAATTTTGACACTTGTCAAAATATGTATATTTGACAAACAGGCAGTATTTTCAAAAAGCGTCATCCGATGCGTTATCTGAACATCATAATAGTTATAATAACTTTATATTTGCCAATTATATTTTGGCTGGAAACCACTCTTTTGAAAGTTTACACATAGAAAATAAGGGCACTAAAGTGGAGAAGTATCTAGAAATAGCTAGCAACTTGATAGACTTCTACAGGCTAAGAATGTTTCTGGAAGTGACTATTGGGTGAGATTCTACCACCCAGATGGTAAATGCTCACGTGGAGCTGTTCTGTCCGCCCGCTCAACAGGTCGATCTTTATTCTTGAACGAAAATCGAAGTTCGGCTATATCGCGTGAATTTAGAGATGGGTAGTAACAAATCTGTAAATGTACATAACAGTTACAGATTTGCTAATATCCATCTCTAAATTCTAGTCTAACCCCAGAACCTCCTAGAGCTTTAGAGACGTTGTAACCGAACTTCGATTTTAGTTCAAGGACGACTTACCCAAGTCCGACTCAGGTAAGTTCTGTTTATAAATATGGACCCTAAACTATTATTAGCTGATCAGATTCTCTAAACGTTTTTTTTTAATCTAGGTATTGATATTGGGCTGGTGTTTCTGTGCATTCGAGTTTGCGAAAATCTTTACCTATTCTACCAAAAATTATATCTGGGAGAATGTAGCTATGACCGCGAATGAAACAATTTTTAAAAATTACTTTCGATTTTTCCAGAAATTTATATGCCTACCAATATGCGAATTAAGCAGTTGGGGGTTTTGCAAAACTTTACTAGTTTCTAACGTTATTTTGGAAAAAAAGAGGCAAGATTTGCAAAAATTATTCCAGACAACTAGTGCGAATGACATAAAGCTAAATTTTGTATAAATTGCATAATGCAAAACAATATCTCAATGAATGATTCTTTCAGGAAAAATCAACAACATGCTCTACTATTTTTTGAATTTAATTTTTGTTAATTTTAAATTACTACAGAATTTACATTTGATATTCTAAAATATGATAATCATATTTTTGTTATATATAATATTACAAAACTTTTTCTGTAGCTACGAGTGTAAAACCCGTGCCCGGGGAAATTAAATAGATGCAAATTATTTTATACAACAGCGAGCAGTTACATCTACAAGAGACTGAAAATTCGTTTAGGCAAAGGTATTATCTGCTTTAATAAGAAAAGTTTTCTAACAGTTTGAAA